AAAAAAAAAAAAAAAAAAAAAAAATCAGTGAATACCGTTCAGATCAGACAGGCAAAGTTTGCTGCCTTGGGAGCAGAGAAATCAGCCATGTTCTACAGCACAGTGATAGATGCTAACTGCTTGGACAAAGAAAATGGCAATCATAACAAAGCAGAGCAAAGGATGCAGGTGTGAGTTAGAGTTTTGAGTAGTAAAGGATGCAAATAATTCAGTGTGTATGTATGTGAGCACAAACCACCAAACCAGGAAATTAAGTATTGTGGAAACATTCTAGTTGCACCTGAAAACAAAATGGGTACTGTGGAAGCTAGAGTTATGAACAGTGTGGGGAAAAAAATTCTATGCAGAATAAAGAAGGGAAAAAAAAAAGAGGAAGGTCAGATATGGCTATTCCAGGAACATATAACTTATTTATACCATCATAACTGAAATATTACCCACAGTACTACAAAAGTGTATTGTGCATCTGTGCTCCTGTAAAGTTAAACAGTAGTCCAGAAAACACACATAGTTGGAGATCTACAAAAGTTCATTAGAAACCTCAAGTTTCACTAGAGTATGAGGGTCAGCATAAGGGCCAAGACAACATTCACTCTTTAGATTTTAGCTAAACAGAGTACTAGACCAAAAATTTGAGCCCAAGCATACATCTCCGTACTCAAGTCAAGCCTCTGCTTGGACTCCAAAATCTTAAAGTTTCTACTCAGCCAAGCAGATTGAAACCCCACACAATAGTCTGGAGAGTTTCAAAATTCGTCTATGATGGGAGATTATGAAGTGTTAACAATGATGACGGACTGTGGAGGAGAAATAATTAAAAAGAAAATGGAATCCCAACTGGGTTCTTTCAAAACCTATTGCTGCAATAAGTTTGTTTACGCAAAGGGAAAAGCAAAGGACTATCTTCTCTGTCAACTCTTAGTAGTGGAACAAATACTCTGCAGGCATTATGAAATCGTGCCCTCCTAGGACCACAAGTTTCAAGGACAACCATCTCTAGCAACAGTCCCAGCCTCATATTAAATTGGGAATCACTTACCAGGCCAATGATGGGGATAGGTTCACTTCCAACAGCCAGGGCTTGAGTGTGTCATCAATAAGGACATCAAAACCATATAGCTCTGAAAACACAGCAGACACTGTAAGTTTACCTTACGGCACCTTTAAACATTCAAGTAAGGTCCAACATTAATCTCTATCAGGTCGTTTCTATCTATATCATTTATGTTAAATCCAGTGAACTCTCTAGGGCTGAACAAATAATAACATTCCACAGGTGGGAAACTTCACTTCCTCAGAATCAAGATTAAATATACTCTGTTTGTGGGGAAAAGAAGGAAGCAGAAAGTGAGTCTTAGGAAAGTATTATATAGAAAAATAAACTCTTTGTTGTCCACGAACTGCAATTTACACAGAGCTCTACTACTTGTTTTCACATAGAATTGACACAACCACAGCAGGTCCAATCTACTTCTTCCATTGGATCCTGGAAACAACAGAATTTCATTCTCCTTTTCACTTTTTAATTCCTATATTTATTGTTCCAGTCAGCTATAGAAAATCTTGCTTCTCTTCAAGCATCAGCTTCTTTTCAATTATTCCTGTATGTTTTTCTGCAATATTCCCACAGGATTAAAAAGAGTCTTCTCCTCAGCAGCTCCATCTACATGGACAACCTCCCGTAACTCTTTATCTTATTGACAGCTTGCCACTTTGCAGCAAACCACTATAGAAATATTTTTTCCTTAGTTTCTAAAACATTCGTAACTATTACATCTACTAGATGTGTTCTGCTCTACACAAGTCAGATTGAAGCCAGCTTCCCATTCCAAGACTGATTTTACTATTTCATTCTATACACACGTTCTCTCTAGTTTGGAAAAAGTTTTAAGAAGGATGCTACACAAAGACAACTCTAAATTAGAAGTTGGCGTTAATGCAATTCCCTCTTCCAGCCTTAAGAAATACAGTTAATGATCATCAGGGCAACTTAGGCATTTTTTCAAAACACCGCAGAACAGGGTATTGGCAGAGAAGGAGGATTTCCATGGAATTAACTAGTTCCCTAGTGCCTGGAGTGAAAACAGGAGAATTTGTTTGCCATGCTGCTTTCCTTGAATTCTGGCCTTGGCCTTCTGTCGCCTGCCTGACGTTGATGCTGGCTCCGGGGAGCTGGACTGCTTGACAAGATCTTCCTATGCAGACAGCTGTGCAAGAGCTCATGTAGCTTATAATGTGAAGTTAATGAGCTGTGGGGGGGACTAGGAAGGGGAGGAAATGGCAGCAGAATGAGTACTGCCTGCTCACTTTTTAGACTGTGTAGCCAGACATTGAGTGGGAAGCAAAACAGCAGAGAGTTAAGGAGTTGGTTCACTCCAAAGAAATGAGGCTGAATCTACGTTTGGCTCTCTTGCTCCCCAGACGGGAAAGGCTGCAGTAGAAGGAAAAGGAGAAGGTGGGGATTATAAGTGTAAACATTAGCAAAGCATTTTGACCAGGAGAAGCTTCTGATGATTTTAATACATTATTTTAAAATACTATCTCAGGTTTGGTGAAGACCTGTGACTCTTAACGGCACAGCAAATTCCAGTGGACAGGCAGCTCATGCCCAAGGCAGAGAAGCAATGAGTGGGCCTGTGGCAGCTGCTGATCTGCGACCTCCCAAACCCAGTCAGGAAGCAGAGCATTTTGTTTTGACTAGCTGCTGCTGCTTTTGCTGCTGGCCATTCCTTCCCTCTGCCCCTCAGAGGACCTTTGCTAGTATTTTGGCTCCTCTGACTTTGTCCTCCTCTCCCACACTTTTCTCCCTTCCAGACCACTTGCTCTTTAAACCTCTCTCTTTCCCACCCAGTTACTCACTTACTCTGTCCACTTTTACAAATACATATGGGAAACCTCTTGACCTCAGCTAGCCCTGACCATGCTGCTGGTGCTTTACACTCCTTTCCCTTGTGTCTGCTTTGTTTATTAGGACAGTAAGCTCTTCGGGGTATCCCTGTTGACACAATTCCATTGTTAAACACAGACATCTAATGCCATCTGCAATGCCTTAGGGTCTCCTAGGAAGACTCCACTATTGCTCCATAAGGCCCCAAGTCTCATGTGTTCTAGGTCATATTTACAACCCCTAGACAGATGTCTCTGCTACCTCAGGGCATCAGGAGTTAAGCAACAGAATCAAGCCTCACAGGTTCCCACATAGGGCTTAGCACAAAGGGGTTCTCAAGTCTGCCTGGGATACTACGGCACAAACAGAAGATAAATTACCTGTGGTTTCAACTATTCTAGAAATATCTCCTTGGCCCTCTTCTACATTTGGAAAATGAACTATCTAGGTTAAACACAGCAGAAGTATCCTTTCTATTGTGAAACTCCACTATTGTTTGTGAAAAGAAATACATAGGCAGCACAAAGATGTAGAGTCACATGAGCACAGCAAGATCAGAAGTATATCCTCTCCAATTACCAAATTCAGCAAGACTGCCATTTCCCTCTGTAGAGAGAGTAAAGAAAACAAAATGACTGAAACACATGCCTCAGGCTGTGGCAATGGTAGGTTTATGACAACCCACCTTGCACCACTATTGTTATTAAGGGAAGAATAGAAGAAACTAAGATATCAAGTTTCCACAGTGCCTTGCCTTGCTCCCCTCCTCTTGCTACTACAATCCACAAAAACATGCTTCACCCTTGCAGTTTGCTGAAGAGATTGGAATCATATCAGGGGGTACCA